GTATGGATATGCTTTACCTGCCAAGGCTTTGGAGTAATTCCTTTTGCACAGCTATAATTGCCAGTCAGACCTTGACCTTTCTTGCACTCAAGTATGTTGTGTAGAGAATGTGCAACAGCATACACTGCTTTGTATACATTATTGTATACTCTAAAATCAGATTCTTCTGCATTTACGTTTTTCAATTCTCTTTTGTTTTCCAAGTTTGCACAAGGAATTTCTACATTACCCTCATCTGTCAGGGAACAATTATATTCAGTTTCCCCAAACCTATTTTGAGGACCACTGATTGGTATTTCAGATGGATAAACATTCGTTAAAAACTCTCCCAGTCCTTCTATGTTGGTTTTAATAACACTGAATCCAATGGATCCCCTCAGAACGTGAGAACCTTCTGCTGTGGCAACATTACTGGTGGTAATCCAAGCTTCACTGCCAATCCATTGGTGGCCAGTTACATTCTGAAGGGATAACTCTTTTATTAAGGCAGTTATATCTCTTTGAACAAGAAATGTTACAATGACTTTTGCAGTGCTCCTTTTTATAATCTCTACTGTCTGAAGAAATTTCTCTCTGGAATCAGACTGATGAATAGACACTGAATATTCAATACAGATCCCCTCTTTCTGGGCAGCCTGTACAAATGTAGCCATCCCATTGTTGCCATAATCGTTATCAGTTCTTATGGTCCCAACCCAGGTCCACCCAAAGTGCTTCACAAGCTGAGCCAGGGCTGTGCTTTGGTAATAGTCACTGGGGATGGTTCTGAAGAATGATGGAAATCTCCTTCTATTGCTCAGACACGCACAGGTAGCAAAGTGGCTGATCTTTTTAGAAAGGAACATTGGAAAATGCAGTTTTTTAAAAGAATGTATGTATTGGGACTACTTTATTCATGTTATACTATATATTAATAAGTCAAGAATATATAGAATACTCCTTCTTGGTGTTTTTAAATAACACATTGCTTTGTGTTTCTAATATACATACTGTATATAAAGTATGTACACACTTTTGATATAGTAGTTGTGATACTGTTAATGATATATATTAGTTTTTATTATTTGAATAAATTAAAAGTAGTTTAATTTCTCACCACAGGAATTCTAAAAGGACCGACTGCTTCTGAGATTGCAACAGTGGGTGATGATGATGACTCTCCTATTATAGCTTGAACTGCAGCTGGTCTGGAGCAGGAGGTGTCAGAGAGAGTTTCCTCATTTCCATTCATCAGAGCCATGGCTGCTCTTACACAAGAAGGTGAGGAGTCACAAGAATCATAGATCTTGTAGCCCAGTGAGATCCCAGGAAGTATCTCTGTGCTGTTGTTTATTTCTTCAATGGTAAAGATCATTGTTTGTGCTGACTGAAGTTCACCAATGTTCAAACTAGTAGAAATGCAGAAAAAAATAGTTTCAAAGATAATTTTAATTTCATTTTAAATAGCAAGATTTGTATGAAGATAGCAAATTGCATTTTATGTGTGATTAAATGGAGCTGCACAGAGAACATAATAACAATTTAAATTACAATGATTGTAAGACATGTAATATTGATTTAAAAAATAGACACTAACCTTCTGCAATCCAAGGGTTCTGGTTTGGTTTTAAAGTGAAACATTTTTGCGTCGATATTACTGTGAATTTGGAACATGCCCCCAATCATAATGTCTCCATCCTTAGAAAAGTGTGGAAAAGCTGCTCTCCCTTGTAGCTGGCACACTGGCTGCTGTGCTGCTCTCAAAATGATAACAACCAGCAGCAATGCTGCTGCCTGAAAAATCATCCCAGACTGTACAAGGTCGCCTCTTTCTGATCCAGAACAGTTTTCCACAATATACTGGCCTTATATTTCACTGGAGGTCTCAGGGGTACAAGAAATGAAACAAAGGTCAGGAAGTAAATCAGGAATACTCCAAAGACTGTTACAGGTTTTAATATGCTCAGGGATAAGAAAAGTAATTATTTTGAGATTTTTATTTTTCTTTTATACTGAGTATACTCCATGTATAATAATCAAAGCTTATTAAGTCATTATCAAATCTTAGTTAAATCTTTACGCAAAAGGCACAATAATGTCTTACAAAATCTTTATTGACATTCAGAAAACAGTTGCTTGTTTTTTTTTTAAGTAACATGTTTCCTTATTGTATTCAGAAACCTTTACGTTATGTGAAGTAGTACCATTTCATCAGAATATTCTCTTTTATCCCAGTCATCACTTGACAGGCAATAAATAAATGATAAACATTATATAAAAGTTTTGCTTCTAAGCATTTAACTTGAATTGCCTACAGTATTGAAAAATAAAGCTAAAGATAGGTTTAGAAAAACACCTTTACTTGATTTAATGTTATGCTTATGATTTGAGAAATAATATTGTAATGACCAGAGGGCTCACACCGAATGAGCACACACTTTTAGATGCACAGGCAACACATTTATGAAACCTCTATCTGTGTTTATTTGATCTATTCTAGGTCCATTGTCCACTCATTCACCTTAGCAAATATTGTACTGTAATATTATTATAAAGATTCTAATAGCCTGCTCAAGATATGATATGTGAATATTAGGTTATACAGTTTATTCTTGGTTGGTATACAGTATGAATATGTTTTGAGACCTATGGCAAAAGTTTCTCTTTTATATACTCATTCCATTTTCCTTTATTTACTGTGGATTGCTGGTATATCATTTTTGTTTCTTCATTATTTATTATAGTATTGGAATATTATGGAACTTGTGTTCAAGAGCTGATATCATACTATAACAAGATGATAAATGTGATAGTGATAATTAAAACTGGGCTATATATACTTTTTGATGTTGGTGTAAACATTTAGTAGGCATTTTCCAATTTAGTTATTATATGGTTCTAGTAAAATTAATGTCAAACACTTGCACTGTTTTTCAGTGCCAACCACATTTATTTTAGAATCAAGTGAATTTTGAAAGATGTGCGGTATTTTATTTGCATATGTTACAACCACTCTTTCGCAATATGTTTAATTTCCTCATCACATGTCAAAAACCGAACACGATGATTTCAAGAATGATCTAAGGTAATTGTAGAAGAAAGATAAAATATACAGTACTGCATATACTTTAATATTTAGATTATTTGTTCATTACAGAAATGTAAACATCCCTTACTGCAAAATGCAGCATGTAAATTGTGCGTTATTTGACCAGAATTAAAATAAAGGTAAAGATCAGAAAAAAAGAATTGGAGGTGAAATCAAATTCAAGTTGATCACCATTACATAATATGAAATGAAGATCCAGAACCCGAATCTGAACAAGAGCAATAGACTGTAGAGTCTCGTGGGGAGCTGGGGGGAACAGCAGGCCTGCAGAGTGTCTGTAAAGAGCACAGGCAGCACACAGTTAATCTCCACTGACAGACAGACTGAAGCACAGGGCTGCAGCCAGGGTGTGTAAGCAGTGATAGTGAAAATTGGCTCATCCTTTTCTCCAATCATTATTGTTTAAATATTAGCATTATTATTTCTGATCTAGCTTAATAGGAAATAAATAAAGCTGCTTTTGTTTGGAAACCAGTCTTACTGGTATTAAATATTGTCAATTACAGTATACTCTGGAGGCTGAATATATTATCTTCTGTGTAAGGTTTGCTCAGATTTATGATTTATAACGGTAAATTTGAAATATTATAAATACATTTTTTGCAGCTGTAAACACAGTACACACCTCCTTCAACATAATGGATTGTAACATAAGATAAGTTAAAATAAGATTTTTATTAGCCATAGACAATTTCTTGCATTAGGAATTTGTCTTTTCGCATACCCCAGCTTGCTCTCTATTGCTGGAGAACTGATGTATTCTCTGGCAATGACTCCAGTGATGTGAATACGACTTTGGTCGTTTTAATGACAATGTGTCTGTGGACCTAAAGTTGGACCATCTGGTCACCTCATTAAGACCTTTGAAGTATTGCAAGTGGAAAGTTAAAACGTAGATTTTATTACAGATTTTATTAAAAGAACAGTACAAACAGCATGTATACTGTTTCATGCTGAAAAAAAGAAGAGAGAAAAAACACGTTTCGGCCATGGAGCCTTCTTCAGGTGTGAGAGAGACAAGGCAGTAGGCAGTCTCTCTCACACCCGAAGAAGGCTCCACGGCCGAAACGTTGTGTTTTTTCTATCTTCTTTTTTTCAGCATGGAATAAACCTATTACTTGTTCCTTTGCAAACTACGCATGCTGACGCAGCTACCCACCTGAACTACTACATGTATACTGTTTGCTGTCTGAGGTGGTTAGGATTGGAAACAGACATACATAAATTAATATAATTGTGATTATTTTGAAAACATTAAATTAAAATGCCAGAAAAGCACAGAACCTTGCATTTTTCTTTTTGAAAGGTCTTCTCATAAACTTATTCTGTTTGTTTGAGCTTATTCTGTCATTCTTCATTGTATTGTGTATCACTGTAAATTGGACTACAACCATACAAGACAAACATAAATGTATAAAAAGCTGTTTAGTATTTTTTTAATGCTATGATCGTGTTAAAACATTAGCTTTTAAATAATAATGTTTTCAGTGTTTTATATTTATTTATATTTTTTCGTCTTCTACCGTGACTTTGCCATACTGCCCATCATGTGTTTCTTTGTATTCAGTTCAGGTTTTAGTAAAATAATGTAGCATTTGGGTGCAAATATACAGAAAAGTAAACTGAAGCTGGAAGACAAAATTGCAAAAATTTCCACTGCTACTGTGAACTTTCCAGGGAAACTAACATATGCTGGGATAAAGGTGATCCAGACAGCACAGAATATGAGCATGCTGAATGTAATGAATTTGGCTTCATTGAAGTTATCAGGCAGCTTCCGAGCCAGGAAAGCGAGCACAAAGCACATGGCAGAGAGGAATCCTATATACCCTAACACAGCACAAAATCCCATTACTGATCCTATGTCACACTCAAGAATGATTTTATCTTTGTAGTATTGTGTATTTATATGAGGAAAGGGACGTGAAATTGTCAACCAAAGAATACAAATCAAGACCTGTACAAGTGTGAAACCCAGAACACTTAAACGCTGCTGTTTGGGGCCAAACCATTTCATAATGTTACTGCCTGGCAGGGTAGCCCTAAAGGCCATTAACACCACTATTGTTTTCCCCAGAACACAAGAGATGCACAGGACAAATGTGATCCCAAATGCTGTGTGGCGCAACATACAGGACCAGTCAGAGGGCTGGCCAATGAAAGTAAGTGAACAGAGGAAACACAGTGTCAATGAAAAGAGCAGAAGGAAACTCAGTTCAGAGTTATTGGCTTTAACAATTGGGCTGTCTTTATATTTAATGAAAATGAAGGCTATGCATAGGGTTAAAGAAGCACCAGAAAATGAAAAAGCTATGAGTAGTATTCCCATGATTTCTCCAAAGGACAAGAATTCTATTGTTTTTAATATGCATTTATCTTGTTTCTCATTTGACCAGTATTCCAGAGGACACTGGATACAATCATAAGCATCTGTAAGAAAATCACAAACGCTGTTTAGTAAAGTGCAGAGCATTGTTATATTGAAAATATCATTATTCTTTTTCTAAATTATTTTTTAAGAAGTGTGATTTGAATTACTAAATTGAATTCTAATAATGGATATATTAATGTGATTATAACTTTGATTATTTGTATTAATAGAATTTAATATTAATGAAGAAAAGAGGCAAGAGACACGTAACTGTGTTCTGAAGTCATGCTGCTCACCTGTAGTGTTGCTGATCTCTCCGTCAGCACATTGTAAACAGTCATAGCAACACACAGGCCTTCCTCTCTGAGCTGCCTTTCGAGTGCCTGGAGGACAGCTCTCACTGCACACTGACTCAGGCTTCTACATGGCCAAAGGAAAATATAGATCAGCATGGAACAGTGATCTGTCAAATGTTCACCAAAAATGTAATTGTTCACTGCTTACCTTTGTTTGACCACCTGCCCATACAATTTCAACTTGGTTTATGGAAAACCGTTTGTCCGCTGGCAATGAAGCATCATAGTGACCTACTGTCATGAACTGTATGGTGCTCTCGTTAACATGCTGCCAGTTCACTAACTCATATCTTGCAGCTGGATCTCCATTGTGATCAAAGGAGACCCGCTCCCCAGCCTTGGTTGTGAAGTTAATATTTTTCAGATACTCAATTACCTGCACAAATTAAAATATCGATATCATCAAAGAAAAAAACATTCTTGTAGCTATACATCATTACATTACAACATTTCTCAGCTGATTTTTTTACCTGCCATGGTTCTGTATTTATTCCTTTTGAACAGGTATAATTTGAAGACAGGCCTTTTACTTTTTTGCATTCAAGCAGACTGTGCAGAGAATATGCAACAGCATACACTGCTTTGTATATGTTATTGAATACTCTCATCTCTGATGTATCTGCATATTCATTCTTCAGTGTTTCTAAGTTTTCAAACCCTGTACAAGGCTGTTTGGCTTTGGATACATTCATCAGTGAACAATTAAATGTGGTTTCCCAAAACTCGTTTAAGAGAGCATTGCCTGGAAATTGAGATGGGTGGACACTCATTAAAAATTCTCTCAATCCATATATTTTGGTTTTAATGACAGCAAATCCAATGGATCCTCTCAAAACTTCATAACCCTCTGCTGTAGCAACATTACTGGCAGTAATCCAGGCATCACTGCCAAGCCATTGGAGATGAGTTACATTCTGAAGGGATAATTCTTTTATTAAAGCCATTATGTCTCCTTGGTCAAGAAATGCTACTATAACTTTTGCGGTGCTCTTTCTTATCATTTCTGTAACCTTAAGAATTTTCTGTCTGGAATAGGTATGGTGAATTACTTCAGAATATTCAATACAGATTCCTTCTTGTTGTGCAGCTTCCACAAATGTAGCCATCCCATAACTGCCATAGTCATTATCAGTTCTTATAGCCCCAACCCAGGTCCATCCAAAGTGCTTCACCAGCTGAGCCAGGGCTCTGCTCTGATAATAGTCACTGGGGATGGTTCTGAAGAATGAAGGGAATCTCCTTCTATTGCTCAGACATGCACAGGTTGCAAAGTGACTGACCTGTAAAGAAGAGACAACATCTAAAAATTCTAGGATTTAAAATAACTCACTGTATTCAGTTTTGTTAGATCAACCATGCTCTGAACATAGTTCATTACACAAAGAGAAACATTCCCAGTAGTAATGATAATACACTTAAAATATTGATTTTCAGCAGAGCAAATAATATAACAATTGTAAGTATTAGAATTAAGAATTTCTCACCACAGGAATTTGAAAAGGTCCAACTGCTGATGAGATTGCAATTGTGGGTGATGATGCAGATTCTCCTATTATAGCTTGAACTGCAGCTGGTCTGGAGCAGGAGGTGTCAGAGAGAGTTTCCTCATTTCCATTCATCAGAGCCATGGCTGCTCTTATAGCCAAAGGTATGGAGCCATATGTGTCATAAATCTTAAATCCCAAAGTCACTCCAGGAAGAAGATCAGTCCTGTTGTTTATTTCTTCAATTGTAAAGATCATCGTCAGTGCCGACTGAAATTCTGCAAAGAATAAGCTAGGAGAAATGCACAAAAATACTAATTCTGTTTTAGTTATTCTAAGGTTAATTTCTACTAGTTTTGAATGTGTAAGTTTAGCATCTATAAATTGCATTGTTTGCAAAATCACTTCAAACATAAAAGGTGATTTGAATTACAAGACAAGAATGTGTAAAATATACATATACTATATACTATACATACCTGTAGATTTTAAAACATATTTATTTAGAAACAACTAACCTTTTCCCTCCAGGGGGCTCTGGTTTGGTTGTAAAGGAGTTTATTTTTTCTTCATAATTGCTGTGGATTTGGAACATCCCGCCGATCAGGATATCTCCGTCTCTAGATAAGTCTGGAAAAGCTGCTCTTCCCTGAATCCTGCAAACAGGCTGTTCTGCCAATATCAAAACAGAAACAACCATCATCAACACTGCTGCCTGAAAAAACATCTTGGACTGCATGAGGAAGTCTCGTTTTGATCGGAAACAACCTGACACAAGAGGTTGTTTATATGGTGCACAGGAGGACTCAGGGGAGGAAGATTGAGAAAGAAGTTCATACACTGTCAAGCAGAAATTCTCAGAGGTCTGACATTTTAGATTTGCCCCAGGATACCTAGAACAAAATTCATTTTTTATATACAGTAAGTAATCTTCCTTTAATCTCTCTACTAATTGTTTCTAAATCTTATCACTATCTCACTGTTTTACTGTTAAATATTTATATGAGTGCAAACTGAACTGGTTAAATGTATCAGCTAAATAAATTAATACGGTAATAATAAATTAATAATACTTGTTTTTGAACTGTATAGTCTCCACTTGTAAACGGAGTACTACCTAACTGTTTATTTTTATTCTGGAAATGACATTTTCACACCATCACTTTTTCTAAGTTTTGTGAGAATTAGTGAGTTAAATGTGAGTTAGTGTGTGCACCAGAGGGCAGGTGTGCTAGGGGGGTCCTCCATCTAGCCAAACGAGGTATCAGGTGGAGAAAAGCGTCACTCTGGCTGCTGACCTCTGGTGGTAGGCATGTAGTGCTGACAGTGTCAGGGCACCACTGACTAGGACATGTGAAAAGACTCAGAGGTCTGGGCATGGGAACATGTGCCAGAAACTGCACCTGTGAGTGTTAGTGTAAAGATGGTGAGGCCGAGCAGGTGAGACAGCTGCTCCAGAAGCTGTGACTTACTGTATGTGAAGTGATGAGTGAGTAGAAGTCCTGAGAGCAGAGAGGGGCC